GAAGGTAGTGTGTAAGGGGAAGGGAAAGGTGATTGGAGACAAGAAAGACATGTACTCAGTGGCCAGCACACATGTAATCAATCCTAGCTTTTCATAGGCACATGATAAAGAAATAATGGGACTAGTATAATCTAGAAGTGTTTGGCACTCTGAAGTCAAAGACATCACCATTGATTTTTAATACAGGCCCAAGTGATGGGTTGGGAGTTTAAACCAGTTGAGATAGACAAAAGTGGTCTTCAAATTTTTGACAAGGCAGATATCATCATCATGGCCCATGTGTACCAGGTATTATCTGTAACAAAACTAGTGATTATTTGGGTGACCTCTAAAGTTGGTGATGGTTTGTAAGCCCAATAAAACAAATGCAATCTGGCCCCGGTGGCTCACACCCACAATCCCATAAGGATCAAGGTTCAAAGTCAGCCCAGGCAGACAAATCTTATTTCCAATTAACCAGCAAAAAGCCAGAAGTGGAGCTTTGACTTAAGTCCTAAAGTGCTATCCATCAGTGAAATAAAGCTAGGGATAGTGTCCAGGCCCTGAGTTCAAGCCCCATTATTGGCAAAAAGGTAATCAGTACCCAGTCATTAATTAAAGACAAAGAAGTGAAGTTTCTCCCGTTAGAGAGCCTCTTTCATGGCTGACACACACTTGTAATCCTACCTACTCAGGAGGCTGAGATCTGAGGCTCACTATTCAAAGCAAGCCTGGGCAGAAAAGTCCTTAAAACTCTTTTTTGTTTTTTCATTTTTTTTAATTGTGAAAATACCATACAGAGGGGTTACAATTACATGGGCCAACTAATGAGTACATTTCTTATTAAGCATTGTTGCCTCCTCATTTGATTTCCCTTCCCATCCCTTCCCATCTCCCTGCTCCCCCACCCCCCGCCAAAGTTATAAAGTTCATTTTTCGACATAACGATTTGTACATCTCATTGTTGCAATGGGTCCACCTGCATCCCTATTTAAATGATTTGTTTTTTCCCTTCCCCTCCACAAATTATACCAACATCAAATACAGTGAAAGCAGGGGTTATACCGTGGGGGAGGGGCATACAAAGCAACAAAGAAATATCTTATAAATATGTTAGAAACAATAGCAAGAAAGAAAAAAACATTTGAATACTTATCTTGGGGTTCATTTCACCTAACATCAACTTATTAACTCCAATTAACAACCAAAAAAGCTAGGAGTGGAGCCATGGCTCAAATAGTAGGGTGTGAGCCTTGAGCAAAATACTTCAGGTGGGGGGATGTGGGGAAATTGAAACCCTATTGCACTGCTGGTGGGAATGTAAACTAGTGCAACCACTCTGGATACAAGTCTGGAGGTACCTCAAGAAACTAAACATGGAGCTTCCAGCCATACTACTCCTGGGTACCGAGGCAGAACATCACAAGCCAGGATACCATAAAGGCACTTGAACATCTGTGTTCATTGCTGCATTATTCACAATAGACAAGATATGGAAACAGCCCAGATGCTCCCAAATAGATGAGTGGATCCAAAAAATGTGGCATCTATACATAATCGAATTTTACAGCCCTGGCTGGCTTTGAACCTCAATCCTCAGATCTCAGCCTCCTGAGGAGTTAAGATTGTAGGCATGAGTCACCTGCACCTGGCATGTTTTTTTTTTCTTTTTGCTGTTTTGTTTTCTTTTTGTCATGTTGTTTATCTATCTTTGAGAGGGTAAAGGGGGCACAGAAATGGAGTGACAAAGGGAGGGAGAACAAATGCAGCAGTGGTACTCACTAGACACTGTGTTGAAAATGAACTGTATAACTTGTGGGTGAGGACAGGCGGGGAAAACAGGAGAGAACAAGGGAAGGGGTAACATTGTCCAAAAAGAAATGTGCTCATTAGCTGACTTATGTAACTCTAACCTCCCTGTACATCACCTCCATAATAACAATAAAAAATAAAATTGGCAATAACTCCATAGGTCTAAAATGAACAAAAAATGTGTTCCAAGAAAACAAAGGAAATAATACGGGGGGGGGGGGAAGCAAAGTGTACCAGGTGCCGGTGGCTCACGCCTGTAATCCTAGCTACTCAGGAGGTTGAGATCTGAAGATTGAGGTTCAAAGCCAGCCAGGCAGGAAAGTCCTTGAGACTCTTTATCTTCAATAAACCACCAGAAAACCGGAAGTGGCGCTGTGGCTCAAGTGATAGAGCTCTAGCCTTGAGCTGAAGAGCTGAGGGACAGTGCCCAGGCCCAGAGTTCAAGGCCCATAACCGACCAAAAAAAAAATTAGGAGCTGGGAAGGTGGCTCAGTGGTAGAGTGCTTGCCTTGCATGCCTGAGGCTCTGGGTTCGATACCTCAGCACCACATAAAGAAAAAAGAAAAAAGCCGGAAGTGATGCTGTGGCTCAAGTGGTAGAGCACTAGCCTTGAGCTGAACAGCTGAGGGACAGTGCCCAGGCCCAGAGTTCAGGCCCCACAACCAGACCCCCCCCAAAAAAAGCAAAGAGCCAATATAGAACTGATGTTAAATGTGTAGTACCCTATAAATTCCAGTGAAGAAAATCCTTTTGAATAGTTTGCAATGTTCGATTGATTAGAAAAGTTTTGGAACCTTACCAAAGTTTATAAAATGCATGGGAAATAATTCCAAAGGGACAAGGAAATATTTTTTGGCCCCAAACAATATCTTAATATCTTCAGAAGATACAAGTGTAACTATAAAACAGGGGGAAAAAACCTAACTAAGTATTGGTCAGATAGATCTCAGCCAGAAACTTACTTGACCAATTTGTAATGCCAATTTTTTTCTATCTATCTATCTATCTATCTATCTATCTATATACACACACACACACTCATACATATTATTTATTTATTTATTGGTGGGTCATGGGGTTTGAACTCTGGGCCTGAGTCTTGTGTCTCTGAGCTCTTCAGTTCAAGCTAGTAAACTACTACTTTGAGCCTTTGCACCACTTCTGTTTTCTGGGTGGTTAGTTGGAGATAAGAGTCCTTGAGGACTTTCCTGCCCTGGCTGGCTTTTTTTTTTTTTTTTTTTGTCGGTTATGGGCCTGAACTCTGGGCCTGGGCACTGTCCCTCAGCTCTTCAGCTCAAGGCTAGCATTTTACCACTTGAGCCACAGCGCCACTTCCGGCCTTTTCTGCTTATGTGGTGCTGAAGAATCGAACCCAAGGCCTCATGCATGCAAGGCAAGTGCCCTACCACTGAGCCACCTTCCCAGCCCCTCTGCTGTATTTTTTTTCACCCGCTTACCAATGATTCTGTGCCCTCTCCCAGCTCTCTCAGATGTGCACATGTATACACCATATATGAGGTTAAGAATATAGTGTCATCTAAAAACAAGACAAATTAAAAAGAGGTCCTTGTTTCCTTGTCTTTGGGGTTCTTTTCAGTCTGTATATTATTTTATGCATATATGAAGAGGTGCTTGGGTATTACAAGCTGGTGTTATTCTTCTAAGACTAACCTCTTTGCGTTTCATTGTGTATGGGTATCTTATTGTGTTTTAAGTCTAACAACTGCCTATCAGGGAGACCATGTGCCATTTTGTGTCTCTGATCTTGGCTTACCTCGTTCAACATAATTTGTTCTAGTTCCATCCATTTCCCTGCAAATACCATTATTTATGGAAGGGGAAATGTTTTAAAAAATCTTTTTTTTTTTTTTTTTCAGTCATGGGGCTTGAACTCTGGGCTTGGGCGCTGTCCCTGCGCTCTTCAGCTCAAGAGAGCGTTCTACGGCTTGGCCCACAGTGCCACTTCCAGTTTTCTAGTGGTTTTATTGGAGATAAGAGTCTCAATGGACTTTCCTGCTTGGGCTGGCTTTGAACCATGATCCTAAGATCTCAGCCTCCTGAGTAGCTAGGATTACAGGCGTGAGCTACTGGCAACTGGCTAAAAAATTCTTTTACCCTCTGTTTTGAAGAATATTATGATCATAGATTAAGGGGTTCTTAAGAGTTGCCATGGAAGAAAAATAACATAAAATATGTGTTGTTCAAACAGATACCAGCTCAGCTAATGTTCTATTGTCAACTTCAAGTGATTTGAAATACTCAAGGAATACCAAAACAAACTAATTACTTTGATTTACTTTTGCGTATAAATTGTTTTGTAATATCTGATTAATAAACCTGATCTTTCCTCATTAAAAAAACAAACTAAAAAGCTCAGGAACAGTGCCTAGGTCCTGAGTTCAAGTCCCAGGACAGACATACACATGTATACATACATACAACACACACACACACACACACACATGAAAAGGGGGATTAATCAACAATGCTCAACACTTTTCTGACTTTGCTCAGTCAACAGCAACAGGAAACTGCCAACTCCCCTCAACAAGGTTGTATACATCTCTTGTACCCTGAAAAGACTACATCCTGGGGCTGGGAAGGTGGCTCAGTGGTAAAGCGCTTGCCTTGCATGCATGAGACCCTGGGTTCGATTCCTCAGCACTACATAAGCAGAAAAAGAAGTGGTGCTGTGGCTCAAGTGGTAGAGCACTAGCCTTGAGCTGAAGAGCTGAGGAACAGAGCCCAGGCCCAGAATTCAAGCTCCATTACTGACAAAAAAAAAAAAGACTACACCCAATAGTTTGTTGATAGTTTACTTCCTCCAACCAGTTTGGGAGGAGGTTTAAATCTTAACTCATTTCTCATTTCCATAGAGCCTTACTCCAACCGTTCAGTATCGGTGAAACTACTGAAGAATTTTTGAAGAAAAAAAATCACTTTAGACGAAGATCCAATCTTTATACTCTTCCCAAAAGCCCAATGGACGCCCAAGAGACGACTAGCCGCGCAAGCGCACACGTAGAAGCCTGGCTTTCTTTCGGTCTTTGCATTTGGCGCGAAATCCACGCTCCGTTGGGTGGAGCTCTGAGCGAAGCCGTCATTTATTGGGCAGGTTTGGCGCGAAATCCCTTAGCTCCTGCGCTACGATTGGCTCCAGCTGTCCCGTTCGGCGAGAGGGGCGGGACCGGAGCGCCGGCGGCGCGCGCAAAGCGGCAGCGTCCTAGAAGAAGCGACTCGTGGCGGTGGAATTTGGCGGCGGCGCTCCTCTAGCCGAAAGCAGCCATGGACCTCGCGGCGGCAGCGGAGCCGGGTGCCGGCAGCCAGCACCAGGAAGTGCGCGACGAGGTGGCCGAGAAGTGCCAGAAACTGTTCCTGGACTTCTTGGAAGAGTAAGTCTGCGGCTCCCGGGGCCTCCCTGGTCGCCCGCGGTGTCGGGGCCGGGCGGGGCCGGGATGCCTGCGGGCGCGCGTTCCGGAACCGCGAGGGGTCGCGCGCCGGGGACGAGCGGCCCGGGCCCCATGTTAGAACGCAGCCTAGGCCGCGGCCGAGGGTGACCTGAACCTGGTGGGCGGGTTCGGGGGGGCAAAAGCCGTTTTGAGGCTCGCGGTGCCCAGGGTTTGATGCTTGCACCTTTGCCTTTTGGCTTGGACTGCACACGGCCCCGCGAGGCTGGTGTTTCCGTGACTCTGGTGACGTGTGGGGAAACTGAGGCTCGGCAGGGCTAAGCCACCTGTTCTTCGGGCCCGCGAGCTCCGCGTGGTTCCGTGGGAGGCGGAGCTGGCCCGGCTTCGTGGCGGAGCCGCCGTGGACCGCCCGGCCTCGAGTCTGGAGGCTGGATTTTCGTGGGGTGGGGGGCGCCGCAGCGCTTGGTGCCGGTGCGTTGATGAAAGTTACAGCCGGCAAGTTGTGCTGTGCGGAGGGCCGACCTCCGCCCTGTTCATAAAGAGAAATCGCGGCATACTCCCGAGCCGCGTCCTCTTCTCCAGTTAGATGGCTAGATTCCTGGCCCACTGAACAACTCCTTCACCTGCACCGCATTCGTTAACTTTTCTTGGTGCAGGTAAGCTAGTGCTGTCCTTTGGTGTTGGGACTCTGCCGACTCCAGGAAAAAACGTCAGCCAGTTGGAGATGTCTTAGAAATTCGGTTCTTTGGGGGCTGGGAAAGTGGCTCAGTGGTAGAGTGCTTGCCTTACATGCATGAGGCCCTGGGTTGGATTCCTCAGCACCACATAAACAAATAGAAAAAAGCTGGAAGTGGCACTGTGGCTCAAGTGGTAGAGCACTATCCTTGAGCTGAAGAGCTGAGGGACAGGCCCCGGGCCCAGAGTTCAGGCCCTACGACCGGCAAAAAAAAAAAAAAAAAAAGAAATTCGGTTCTTTGAATTATAGCAGTTACACATGTGTGTGTGTCCTGCGCACGCATATACTTGAAGCACAAAACTTTGCTCTTTAACCATTTTTTAGTGCCTATTAAAAAGGGCATTCACCTGGAACAACTATTTTCATGCCCCAAACTCACCTCTGAGTTCATTAGCCCTGTTAACCCCTTCTCCTAGCCATCACCCTTTTACCCTGTTGCTGTACATATTTGTCTTTATTTGTGTGTGTCTGGCTTATTTTACTAAGCAAAAAGTGTGTGTGGTAGCTTTTATCAGAATTTCTTTTTAAGGCTGAATAAAATTGATTATATATGGATTACACAGCACCTTGTGCATAGCCATTCAGTGACTTGGGTTGCTCCTACATTTGGGTTGTTTTGAATAATGCTGTTCTAGGGAGTTTTGTTTTTATATAGAACTGTAATTCAGTTTCTATTTCTCTGCTTTGGGCAATAGTCTACGCTCAACAGCTAGTCATCTCTCAGACCCCAACTAAAAACTCATGAAACACTATACACTTGTAGACTGAAATCACTAATTATTTCTTAGATGTTGGGAGCTCATGAACGGAGAGTAGAACTACCATTACATAAATCTTCCTGTCTGCAACTTTACCTGGAATAGAAATCCTAAACTCTACCTAGCACCACATCATCTTAAAAGGATTTTGAATAAGTAAATGTTCCAATAGGTAACTTATGTGTCTTTATCATATAGCTATGTATCTTAGCTAGTGATAAACAAGACAGTATCTGTACTTGTACAAAATAAACAAAAAGAAATCCACAAAAAACCTTTGGGTTTGCTATTGCAGATTCTTCACTCCTGTTTCATTTTTGAAAAGCTGCATCAGTCACCATGCACATACCTCTCATTCCTTCCCTGAGTTTGCCACATACTTGCTATCATCTGTAGCCAAATTTTCACCACCTGTTTTTCTTTAAATTTCATTTTTAATGACTCTTCAAGGCAGAATTGTAGTGTACCTTTAAATGGATGAATCTTTTCCAGATACTCCTATCAGCAGAATTGGTTAATAGTAACACATTTATTGCGGTTCTCATTAGTAGGAACATTTTTCTTCCTTTTTTTTCCCCATCCATTATAGGGCATCTGGGCTGTTTCCTAAACTTGGCTATGGTAAAAAGTACAGAAATGGACATGAGTGTGCAAATGCCTTTATTGTATCCTGGCTTGTGACCTTTTAGATAAATGTCCAAGAGTAGAGTTTCCATAGTGGTGGCACTAATTTACATTTTTCTTCTTGTTTACTTGACTGTCACCTGTGTCATAACAGGTTGTATATTGAAGAATGAACATAGTATATTTAGAAAAGTTGCTTTTGCCTCAGAACTAAAAGAACAAAGTTGTGATGCTCTGCTTGGCCTTTTGGGAGAAAAAAAATCACAATTTAATTTTGTATGTGTATTTACATTTTTCCTGAGCTCTTGAAAGGTTGACATATCCTTTTTTTTTTGTATTTTTATTCTGCTTTTAAGATTTATATATTCTTTTGTTGTTGGGAATTGAACCCAGAGTCTTGATGTACATGGTAGCTAATCATTGCGCTGAACCACTGAGATGCATCTCTAAGCCTTTTTTCCACTTCTATATCAAGTACTAAAAGAAATTGAATGTTTTAATTTGAGTTTACTGATTCAACATTTTCTGGGTAAGTAATTTGTCCCAAGTTACAGAAGTACTAAACATAGGCTTCTCTAACCCTAAAGCTGACAGTCTTTAATGATGTCCTGAATTATCAAGTATCTGTATTCTTATTTTCACTGCTTAATTTCTCTGTTTGCCCTGATTTATGTGTGTCTGTAGGTTCCAGGGAAGTGATGGAGAAATTAAGTATCTGCAGTTAGCAGAGGAGCTAATCCGTCCTGAGAGAAATACACTGGTTGTAAGTTTTGTAGACCTGGAGCAATTTAACCAACAATTGTCCACCACAATTCAAGAAGAGTTTTACAGGTATGGGTGAATTAATTTCCTTTACTTCGAATAGTAGAGTCTGGGAAGCTAGCTGGACTGGAACTGGACTTATACTTCGAAACAGAAGGACAGATGGTTGACACAGTTATTACTTCCTTCCAGAGAAAGGCCCTTTGTTAGTGGTCCTTTTAGTGCTTCTCTGAACTCAATCTAGGCCTTGGTGCTCAATTTTTTTCATGTCAAATGTTGAAAACCTTCGTTTTCTACACTTGCTTTGTGATAGGAATTTAATGCTATTGCTTTGTCATTTGATCCATTTCCACTAGAAATAGATGCTTTGCCAAAGTGTTTAGTAGGTGTAGATACAGACTTAACTATAAAAGTTAAATATATGTGTGTGTATATATTTTAGAGTAAGAGTCAAATCATATGTATGTTTACAATCCCACCAGTCATGGATAACCACTACTAGTAATTCTAGCAAACATTCTAGGAACCACCCAAATCTGCAAGTGTAGCGTTGTATAAAGACCTCATTTCATTTTGCTTTATTATATGTATTATTGGGATCATAATATAATTAGGAAAATATGCCCTCTTTCCCTTAACAGAATAACATGGTTTTCCATGTTACAGAAATTACTTTAAAAATTGTAATTGTAATTGGAGCCAGGTGTTGGTGGTTTACTGCCTGTAATCCTAGCTACTCAGGAGGCTGACATCTAAGGATTGCAGTTCAAAGCTACCCCATACAGAAAAGTTCCTGTCAGACTGTTATCCACAATTAACCATTCAAAAACCAGAAGTGGTGCTATGGCTTAAGTGGTAAAACTCTAGCCTTGAGCACAAAGAGGCTCAGAGATAGTGCCCAGGTCCTGAGTTTTAAAGCCCCACAAGCAACCAAAAAAAAAAAAAAATGTAATTGGAGGAGTAGAAATGGAGTGATTAGACACGAATATCAGGCCCTCATTGTGTTTTTAATTGTCAGGAAAAACTTTGTCCATAGATACCTACATTGAATAAATGATCATCTAAATATAAACAGATTAAGTTAATATTGTAAATAGTGAGTGGAAATGAAACCCAGGATAAAGAGTAGTTTTGTTTTCCTGATAGGTTAAAGAGACAAGAGACTATATCTTTTCAGTGTTTCTAGTCATAGTGACCATCAATAATGGTTATAGAGGGATGATGAATGGTTTATTGTGAAAGCATACAAAGGAAAACTGTAGTACTGACAGGTGAGAAAGGTAGCTCAAGCAGAAACAACTTTGCTGTAGCTGGTGTATAAGACAAGCAGCAGTTCTCACTTGAAAGTAGCTATTATGTCAGAAGGTGGCTTTAATCGGGCCGTAGCACACACCTGTCTAACCAACTAGCATTTATGTCAATTTGTGCTACTTAGTAATATCACCAGGCCTCATCCATTTTTTTCTTCAAATATATCATCAGGCCTCATCCATTTTTTTCTTCAATTAAAAGTGAAGGGCCAGGGGCTGGGAAGGTGGCTCAGTGGTAGAGTGCTTGCCTTGCATGCATGAGGCCCTGAGTTTGATTCCTCAACACCACATAAGTAGAAAAAAAAAAGCCAGAACTGGCGCTGTGGCTCAAGTGGTAGAGCGCTAACCTTGAGCTGAAGAGCTAAGGGACAGCGCCCAGACCCAGAGTTCAGGCCCACAACCGCACCAGGAAAAAAAAAAAAAAGTGAAGGGCCAGAATGATTTAGTTTATGCTTCTAGGTATCAGTTAACTGGTTTTTGTTTTTCAGAGTCTACCCTTACCTGTGTCGGGCATTGAAAACCTTCGTCAAAGACCAAAAAGATATCCCTCTTGTCAAGGATTTTTATGTAGCGTTTCAAGACCTACCTAGCAGACACAAGTAAGAACCCTTTTGAAAGAAAATAACTCAGCAGATAGTTTCAGTATCATTTAGTAGTCAAAAAACCTCGGGAACTTTGGTGGCTCACATACATATAATCTTAGCTACTGAGATCTGAGTAAAAGTTCAGAGGCAGCCTGGCCAGACAAATCCTTGAGACACTTTATCTCCAACTAAACAGCAGAAAAGTGAATTGGAAGCTTGGCTCAAGTGGTAGAGCTCCAGCTCTGATTGGGAAAGCCAATTAAGAACTTGAGGTCCTGAATTCAAGCCTCAGTGCTGGAATGGGGCGGGTGGGGGGGGGGAGGCCTTGATTGTTTTTTATTTTTTGGTAGGCTTCAGTTTTCTTAGATTTCCCTGAGCTTTTATGCTCACAGGTAGAGTTCTACCATTTGAGCCACAGCTCTACTTCCAACTTTTTTAGTATGATAATGGATATAAAAGTCTCATGGAATTTCCTGTTCATTCAGGCTGGCTGTTAACCACGATCCTCACATCTCAGTTTCTTGAGTAGCTAGGATTACAGAATGGGTCCACTGATGCCCAATGTAGCTGAGTTTTGTGAGATTTGGAGTGCTTTTTAGTGAAATGGGGCATTGGGTCAAGTAAAAAAGGAGGAAAACTGACAGGTGCTGGTGGCTCATGCCTGTAGTCCTAGCTACTCAAAAGGGTAAGATCTGAGAATCGTGATTCAACACCAGCCTGACAGCAGTCTGTGAGACTTTGTGTGTGTGTTGGGGGGTGGGGGGAGGAGAGAGAAGGTAATGGGGCTTGAACTTGGGGCCTGGACTCTGTCCCTAAGCAATTTTGCTCAAGGCTAGCACTCTACCACTTTGAGCTACAACCTCTCTTCTGGTTCTCTGGTGATTGATTGAAGATAAGAGTCTCATGTACTTTCTTGCCTGGGCTATGAACCATGATCCTCAGATCTTAGCCTCCTGAGTAGGTAGGATTACAGGCATGAGCCACCAGCACCTGGCACTGTGAGACTCTTTATCTCCAATTAGTCACCAGAAACTGGAAGTAGTGCTGTGGCTCAAAGTGGTAGTGTCTTAGCCTTGAACAAAAAGAGTTCAGGGACAGTACCCAGGCTCTAAGTTCAAACACCACAACTGACAAGAAAAAAGGAAAACTGAGAACAGTTGCAGAAACTCATGACTATAAGGACTTTCTTTCAGTTTAAATGCATAACTTTTAAGTGTCTCTTCAGCAATTATTTTAAAAATAAATTTATTTGAAGAAGCATAGAAATATTTGTCAAACTTTGCCACATTTAAACTTTGAATAGTTATAGTAACAAAAATCACAAAATTATAAAATTGTATAAAATGGCTTGTGAAATAAATATCTTACTTGAATATAAAATTTTCCCTGGTCTAGGAATGTGGCTTAGTAGAGTGCTTGCCTAGCATGCATGAAGTCCTGAGTTCAATTCCTCAGTACCACATAAAAGTCTGGAAGTGGTGCTGTGGCTTAAGTGGTAGAGTGCTAGCCTTGAGCAAAAGAAGCTCAAAGACAGTGTCCAGGCCCTGAGTTCAAGCCCCAGGACTGGCAGAAAAAAAGTAAAATTTTCCATAACTTTATGAGAGCAACTTGTTTCGTTTTTTAGAAAAAGTAGTGGGGCTGGGAAGGTGGCTCAGTGGTAGAGCGCTTGCCTTGCATGCGTGAGGCCCTGGGTTCAATTCCTCAGCACCACATAAGCAAAAAGAAAAAAAGCCGGAAGTGGCTCTGTGGCTCAAGTGGTAGAGTGCTAGCCTTTTTTTGTTTGGGGGGGCGTCCGGTCGTGGGGCCTGAACTCTGGGCCTGGGTGCTATCCCTCAGCTCTTCAGCTCAAGGCTAGTGCTCTACCACTTGAGCCACAGCGCCACTTCGAGCTTTTTTTCTTTTTGCTTATGTGGTGCTGAGGAATCGAACCCAGGGCCTCAGGCATGCAAGGCAAGCGTTCTACCACTGAGCCACCTTCCCAGGCCCAGAGTTCAAGCCCCACGACCAGATCCCCCCCCAAAAAAAAAGAAATAGAAAAAGTAGTAATAAGCCAGTTGCTGGTGGTTCATGCCTATAATCCTAGCTACTCGGGAATCTGAGATCTGAGGATCGTGGTTCAAAACCAGCCCAGGCAAGAAAGTCCATGAGACTCTTTATCTCCAATGAACCACCAGAAAACCAGAAGTGGCTTTGTGGCTCAAGTGGCTGAGCACTAGCATTGAGCTGAAAAGCGGAGGGACAGTGCCCAGGTTCAGAGTTCAGACCCCAGGACTGACAAAAAAAAAGTAGTAAAATATTTGTATATTAAGAGGAATCATAATTTTTATTTTTGTTTATTTTGTTTTTGCTGGTACTAGGAACTTGAACTCAGGGCCTGAGCACAGTCCTTGAGCTTCTTTTGTTCAAGGCTAGTGCTCTACCACTTGAGCTACAGCGCCACTTCCGGTTTTCTGGTGGTTTATTGAGATAGGAGTCTCACGGTCTCTCCTGCCCGGGC